TGTACAATAACATGTACATGTCTGCATCTGATTTGAAGCTTCGCATCGATCAATGTATTCGATATGTATCTAGCGGCACCCTAATACCTGCCCTGTCGGCCTAGTATGCCGCTTTGCTTCGTCGAGTGTATGGCACGTGGCGTATTGTCGTTTACTAGCATAATATATGTAGATTACCACTATTTATTTGATTGTCGCAACAAAGTTTCCGATGTATACACATTACTTATGGCACATTTTTTGTCTGTTAATTATCAAATTGTTATAGGTGGAGGGATCCTCTTCAAAAATATTAAAATATATTCAATTCCATTAAGGAATATATAAATGACATCTCAACTCCCAGTTCACAATATAAAACATGTACAATTAAAAATAAAAATGACCTGTTTCATCGATTTTGATAAAAATCCTTTTCTTATTGCTCTGTTTTTAAGGAGATACTCTGTAATTCAACCAAAAAATAACACTTCATTATATGTACACAGACAAAATAGCTATCGCCACAGACCGCTACTGGAATAGGCCAGCAGTTTTAAATTACCGAATTGCCGATAGAGTACACCACCAGCAGAATTTTAGGAAGAATCAAATGCAGCGGCCCGAATTGCTACGCGTATCCTATATTATACAATAGCAACATATAAACAGCGCTTTGGTAATGTTGCCAGACGTACTTACGGATTTCTTTTGAACACTTCTTTATCAATATTTGTTTTTTGCGTTACTGTATTTACTTAAATGTATAATGTAGGTATTGAAAAAAATGTTTCTAAAGAATCAACGAATATCTATGTAGTTTCATATGATATTCTGCAGCAGTCTCACAGTTAGGTTATTTAATCATAATTTCGTTAATTAGCTACTATTTTCATTTTTTGGTATTGAAATATTGCAGCAAATATATTTCCAAATAAACAGCTAATTCTAAACAGCTTGTAATATAATTGTAATGATATTTTAAACAGCTTGTGGGAAAGCAGGATTTGATATATTAAACATCAATTTCCTTCTTGAATTACACACAAAAGTATATTTTCACGTTTTAATATATGTGATTGGTAGATATTACTTTGCATGGTTTTACTTGTTATTGACACGGTCCATAAATATTTGATCCCAAGTATCGATAGTTTGCATGGTTTAATAAAATCTACCATTAGTAGCAACAGTGTTTCACATCTAGAAAAACAGAAAATAATTAGTTTAAGATTTTCATGATTCTAAGATTAAATCAACATTATATCTACACACCTACTTACCAATTTATCTAAGAATGTAAGTAATTTGTTCCTGTATAAATCGATATATTTTTGGAGTAGCTGTTATTGTTACTTATAGAAAACATATTCCCAATACATGGTATCTAGACTCTGTTGCATTAATTAGATATTTTAAGGGAGATTTGTACATTGAACTCTACGTTTCCTCGGCATTAATTTAATAAACTAATATATGTCAATAAACAACGCTGAATTGAATAACTCACGCAGACAACTGACAGGCAAATGTCGATGCACGGAACACTGAACACTGACCCAAGACATCTGACCGCAGTATGAACTCCGATTAAGAAAAATATAAACTAATAAGTCATATTTGCTTTTCTCTATGATTAGGATTATAAAATCATATTTTTTTTTACTTTCGCGGTAAGGTTTACTGAGTTGACATTTTTGAAAAGAACTGAATATACGGAAAAATAATATTTGCCATTATTTGCAGAGGTTGAACACATATTGTAGATATATTTTACCCACTATGTCGCTGTAATATAGCACACTGTTTTAACTATTTAAATATAGTATAAATAAATATTGAGGTGAGATAGTATAGCTTACTATTTAAGAACTATTTTACTTATTGTTTCACACAATATTTTGTTTTCAGTTCAATGTTCTCAAAAAGTGCCATTGCTCTCGCAATGGTTCAAAGATTCCACCTCAAAATGCATTTGGACGCGAGAACTAGGGCATAATTTTCATCCACAAAGAGGCTTCATATGAAATAAAACTTTTCCCCAGAAAATACATGAAGATGATGTTTTTCCTTATACTTAATTATTTTAAATTAGGAGTTAATTTTACGGAAGAAAAAGTATCTCATTTATCTTACATATTGTTTATTTATTTAGTCCTGTTGACTTGGGTATAGGGAATTATAGTATCATTTTAATGTAGATTTAATTCTGCATCCATTAATGTAATAATATACATTTGAAATTTTTGAGCAAATTCAACTTCAACGTCACACGTTTTTGAACACTCTGTATAAATTTTTGCAAATTTGAAACTGGTTGAATTCCATTGCTTTTAAATTATCCGTGCCAGATTTCATTAATAAATAAAGTTAAATGTCGGAGTTATTTTGTTTTCAAAAATCACTTGCAACCCTCAATTTTTTTCGAAAATTGATAATAACTTGAAAACTGTCACATCTTGGTCTACAGTACCTTATATGAAATTAGTCTAGAATTTGTCGTAGAATTAAAAAATGCATAAATATACAGAGTGTTCCATTTGAAATAACAGAGTTGATGATGACTTCCGGTATGCGAGAAAGTTAACACTATTTTCATTGAATAGATCTTTTTGTTAAGTCCCTGTATACAAATTTTCAGATTTTAATTCTGACTACTTTTTGAGATAATCCTACTGGGCCCTCATGGTAATGTTAATTTCCAAGTTTAAACTGATATTCGATATGCGTGGATTATCCAGAAGCAGACTAAATTATCCATTTAAATTTGTACATCTTTGACAGCGTTGCCTTTGGCATTTTTCTGTCATAGTTCGGTTCCTCTCTCACTTTGCTAAAAAAAAGGAATACCGTATATCAGTCGATATCTTGTCCGATATACATCTATTGTAATAAAAATGCGATATCAACATTTTTGTAAAAATCTTGGTTTTTATGGAAATTGAGATGGCTGTAAACAAGTGTGTATAATTAGAAGTTAGATATTTGTCATAAATCGTTTTAACACCATTTGTTGTTTGAATATCAAGCAGGATTTAAGGTATATGAAGAATTTGCAAACATTCATCTAATACGAACTTGCAGAATGTAATGCTTCTGAAGCTAATCTGATTTACGCCAACTGCTTTCCAAATAGAAGAGTACCATATTGGAGAGCTTCCATAGGTGTTCATACAAGTTTGCGGGAGACTGGGATGTTATAAAAGTAAGTTAATGTTATAAGCTCAGTGATTTTCTGCTTAGGATCTGTCAAACAAAAACGTGATGGAGTCAGACGACCAAGGGGCGCATGAACTGTTCAAACTGAAGAACTGATTGCTTGGAAGAAAATCCATATACACTGGTATATTGACGATAACTTCCCAACCAGTGTCTGAAGTTACACGTGTACAATTTGTACGGCTTTTCTGGAAAACCAAAGAATTAACCATTATAAGCAAAGGTCTTTTTAGTGATGAAGCCGGATTTACTCGGGAAGGAATAAATAATTCCTACCATTTGCATATTTAGAGTGGCGAAAACCCCCATGCTATTATTCTGACAAAACACCAACAGAAATTTATCATTAATGTATAGATGGGACATTGCGAACTCTCAAATTGGTGTTGGGTAAAGTCGCATCTACATTTACGAGTACTTTCATCCGGGTTAAATAGTGTAATTAGTGTAAGGTAAGTATATTGATTCTATTGCTTATGAGCTACGAATCTATTTTAAAATAGCTTCTTCGAAGAAGTGTGTTGCTGTAACTGCTCTTTTGCTAACACTTTTAGCAGTTAAGGAAAAAACAACAAATTGGCGACGACAAAGATTTACAAATAAAAAATAATTCTGTAATTTTTCTGTAAATCGACATTAAAAAATGTACATGTATTCTTTTATTTAATACGTAATTATGGAAATAAAGATATCGATTGTGTTAACTTATATTACTTATTTTTTGCTCCACACTGATATTCATTATATCAGCATAATGCATATCAACATATCATACAGAGTAGGAAAGTACCGATGGTCTATCTGAAGTTACGTGAGAGCGATAAAGTAAGCCATAGAAATCCATTTGATAGACAAGAATGGGTATAGTGAAGGCGTCTAATAGTCACCGCCCATTTCGCCCTTCCACAAATAAGAAGTGGATCTTATTTGTGGAAGGGCGAAACGGGCGGTGACTATGAGACGCCTTCATTATAGCCATCCTTCTCTATCGCATGGATTTCTATGGCTTACTTTATCGCTCTCACGTAACTTCAGATAGACCATCGGTACTTTCCTACCCTGTATACTTCATATTTTCCTTCCGGTAATCCTTGCATTTCACATTCCATAAACGTTCGAAATAATAAAATCAATAAACAGTTCGATTTGTTCCCCTGAAAATTTAGTCTCTGACAAGTTAGTTTCACAAATGTTTTTATAACGTTATCTTCAATTAAAACGATTTTTATGAAACCGAGATCACTTCTTTATCCATACAAAACAAGTTTTTGGAAAAAAAATAATTTCATAGCTTCCAACCTGTAAGTAAATATACTTCTACTCACAAAAGCAAAGTCTAATGAAATTTGATGCAAAAATTATGGGGTTACTATTTTAAAAAATATATCTACATCTCTAAAAAATATCTCTACAACATAGTTCAAAAACATTTGATAGTAAAATTTTATAAAATTATTAAAAAATCTTCCCAAAATGCAAAAATCAGCTTGGCTCATTTTTTCCGCAAAATCGATTCGTTTTTGTTTTAGCTCAAAATATCTAACTTTTGTTACGCACTTTGTGAGCACCAGTTCATTATTTACTAATATTTTGAAAAACTCGGGTAATTATTGTTACCATAATACATTTATATTTGTTCAAGAAATATCCTACAATATTGTTCAAAACTCTCACTATAGTAATTTTTCTTGTCTTATGAGGAACAACATGTTATTAGACATCAAACTTTTTACATATTTCAATTTAATAGTTTGCATAAAATCGTGAACTTTGGAAATATTACACTGACACTGGCGGATTGTATGTAAATAAATTTGAGCGTTACTTCCTTTGACGACAAGTCGAATCAGAATATTTGTGAAGTGCTGTGAACAGACGTGTTTTTTTTTGAAATATAGTAATTGGTAGTTTTCAAGAATGATGGCGATGAGAAAAGCACGTTTGGAGAAAAGAAAAAAAGGTAATGAGTATTGTAATATCAAAAGTCGCTGAGAAACGAATATAAATTTACAAAAAAAAACAGTGCTAAATTTAAGAAAAATTTTACATATACTGTATAATTATTTGTTATTTTTTTAACCAGTGGGTGTATTATGGCACTTGAAACCCACTTTGAACAGGTTTTGTAAAATTATTTACATAATTCTAATTTGTCTAAACTTTTGTCTTTACAACTGGTAGTTTGTACCAAATTGGTAAAATCTATCCAAAATATTAAGAAATCAGCATACCTCACAACTGCTGCACTGGTTTGAATGGGAATATAATTTTTTTCAGGCTATATTCAAGCTTATTCTTGTATTGTACACATAAGAACTCCACAGATAGATTAGAAGGGCAGATAATACTGTCCTAAGATCTTGGTACACAAAACCAAGTGCTTCAGGAAGATTCTTACACTATCAGTCTCACCACCAACAAAAACATAAGATTAATTTAGTATTAGCTATGAAGAATAGGGCCATACAAACCAGTCATACCTCCTTGCGGATCAATAATTTGAATAAATTAAAAAAGTTGTTTGTAGATAGTGGCTATCCGGTAGAAATTGTTAACTGCTTTTTCATAGGAGTGAGTTCGTTAACGCACGTAATAATGAAACAAATCGTTCCAACAATAATAATTACAAATATTACCTTACATTGATTTTTTGATTTTTTGGCCAATAAATTAACTAGGATTTTTTCTTCATATAACAATATAAAGTTGGCATTTAGGAATCAGTTATCGGTGGGGAGTTTGTTTTCAAAATTAAAAGATTAAGACAACATATTGAATATGTCAGAAGTAATTTACTGCATTCCATGTAGACTGTCAAAAGGTTTATATAGGTCAAACCGGGAGATGTCTTAAGGACCGGATTATATCACATAAAAGTGACATTAGAAATCAAAAAATGTCTTGCACCTTAGCTAAACATGCTGTACAATATAGTCATAAAGTCTCGGTATTTGATAGGGAACCCAATGTACAAAAATGGAATTTTCTAGAAATAACTCAGATTATGAAACACGAACGTAGTATGAATTCAAAAAAGTCATTGATAGTAACACCCTGTAAAATCAAATTTGTAGGTATATATGAAAGACAGGTACATCTAACAAACAATTCTTTCGCAAATTTTTTACATTAATTTCTTACTCACATTCCTGTTCACCGTCGACGCTATATTTTTAAGAGTATATTCATTTAGTACTGCTTTGACCAATGTAGCACTTACTTAATTTTTAATAATGTAATTTTTTTTTAATTTTAATATTTCGACAATAACAATTTTAACCAAAAAATGTTGACCTGCTTCTGTTCATTTGTGTGGTCACAGTTTGTTTTGTTAATTAATATCAGTCTTTTTCTAAGTGATTGTTTACAATTTTATTTAATTTTAATTTTATTATTGTTATGTCTTCTCAACATGCCGTCTTCATTGTGAACCTCGCATTTCGTAAGTTACCTTCTTTTTGTAATTATAATGTTCTAATTTTTTTTATAAAAATTGTAGAACTCCTGAAGAAAGAAGGATTTTCTCGAAAGCTCGAGTCGAAATAAAGAGTTTTCAGCCTCTATTGTTCTTTCCCAAGACTATATTACCCAATTATTTAACCAGAAATTTTGTTTCTTAACTAGCTAGTCGCTAATACTTAACAACTATATATGGCACGTTCCGCGTAAGATCGATCAAGGCTCTCGTCAAAATTTGGAGACATTTAATAAATGGTTTTGAGCGTACAAAAATTAGTTCTTCAAGTACTTTGACGCGCCAGGAAATTTTAAAAAAAATCAGGATTCATCAAATAAACTCCCTCCAGTGAACATATTACTGATAAATCCGTCTCCAAATGACTTTAATGGGGACTTTCGAGATCGCTGTTCATAAATCTTAAGTTATTTTCAGACCATTCATGATGGCAATTTTTATAGCTACCGTGTGTCCCCGGATTGGCTTAACTATTCTTGTAAAAAAATTTATTTTTCATTTTTCGACAAAAAGTCATTCTTTATAAAAAATTTTGCTTGTCCTGAAACTTCGAAATCCAGTTTCAAAAGACTAAAAATTTATACGGGGCGCTCATAAAATTGAAAAACCAAAAATTGCCCCAAGAGTAAAGCGACCTTATTTTAAGGACTACTGCAAAATATTATTACTAAAAGTTGTTTCTAATACTAAGGAAAGCTCAAATATCAAATATCGACAAAATCGGATGAACGTTATAAGCTGATTAAACCAATCGGTTAAATTGTTACATAATTTGGTAGGAGAAAAAGCTATTCTTAAGTCTTTTTGGAGTTTAGGTTAAAAAAGTGGAGCATTACGAGGGGTAATGTTTTTTTTGAGGTTTGGATCAGAACGTGGCATAATACTGTTGAACCGACTTTAAATTACGATTTAGCGACCCTAAAAACGTCGGAAACAATGAGTCTCCAATGATTTAATTCGCGGTATGAATAAAGAGACGTGATTTTTCATATCTTTTGAGGTTATGATTGGAAAGTGATGCGATACTATCGAACTGACTTCAATTTATGATTCAGCGACTTCGAAAACATAGGAAATACTAGTCTGACATGTCTTGTCTGTGAAATCGACCATTGAACTATGATTGAATAAAAGTTTTGTGATTTATGGCTTGCTAAGCAGTTATATAGAAACTGCCATCTTGAACCTTCTGAAAATAACTCAAGATTTACGAACAGCGATATCGAAAGCACCCAATAAGGTTATTTGAAGGGATATTATCCGGACAATATCTGACATCCGCTCACTTGATTTTTGATTCAGAAATAATAGCGAAACAAATTTTGCGCATAAGATTTGCCTCATATTGGGAGAACAAAAATGAATTTTATAAGGTTCATCCGAATTTGTCCATATTCGATATTTGAGCTTTGTCATATACACCCCAAGTGGACACTCTGTATATATATACAGGGTGATTCAAAAAATCGCTGACAGACTTCTAGGGTAGATAATACATAAAAAATTAAAACGAAAAGTTTTAATAAACATAGGGTCGCAAATGCCTCCTTAACGAGATACAGGGCGTCAAAGTTTCTGTAAAATTAAACATTGTCTGCAATAATTCCTTTTTAAAATATTTTCTACGCCACTGCTAATTTTGTCAAACGGGCACTATTTTCGTGTAAAGTGTTCAATTGTCTATCGAATTGGTCTCTTGTAAAATTTGGATTAAAGCAACCATTTTTAAGAGAAACACCTCTGTAGAAAATTTGTAAATCCAATTTTATTTTCATTCATTTTAATTTCGCATAGTAGGCTTGTGCGATTCAAAATAAAATTACACATCGCCTGTCACTAATGTCAATGTGTACAAGTAAGTTAAGTAAACTAGATTATAAGCTTCTTTTTGTCATTTTTACGCTTTAATTTTACAGAAACTTTGACGCCCTGTATCTCGTTAAGGAGGCATTTCCGACCCTATGTTTATTAAGACTTTTCTTCTTAATTTTTCATGTATTACTTACCCTAGAAGTCTGTCAGCGGTTTTNAAAAACAGATGTTAAAAAGGAACTGTGGATCGTTCCCTGATCGCTCACTCATTATTTCGCAAAATTGCAAACGGCGGTCATAATCATCCTCTATATATATATATATGTCAAAAACTGGAAACTAATTGTTAGAGATTTAGTATATAGTTGTAAATAGTAATAAGTAATTTAGTTAATTTTACTGGTGTAGATTACATAAGGAATATAAATTCATCTAAATTGTGTCCAAGAAAGTCAATTAATTTAATATAATTTTTCTTCGAAAATCAGGATTTAATTATTATTTATAGTTTGACAAAATTAATATTTTTGAAATATTTTTTTTTTAAAGGTAAGTGTTTGTTTCTTCTAAAGAACCGCCCCTGAAGGGAAAAAGCTTGTGCTACATCATACAGGAAAAATAATACTTTCAAATTTATTTTTTGAAGAATTGTGTTTTCAATTTCAAAATTAGTAATTTTTTTTTATATTACCCAAATTTTTAATTATAAGAATAATTTGTTTTGGTTAAAAGAAATCTAAATTTATAAAAACTTTCACTCAGACTGATGTCTACATTTAAGCAGGTGAAGGTAAGTAGATTTTCCTGTTAACTATCTGAGCTCTCTGAAGGTACATAAACATATACATAAACATAAATTATATACACAACAAATAAATTACATTACAATATATATATATATATATATATATATATAACATAAAATTATAAATAGATAGAAATGATGGAATTCTTTTACAAGCAGTTTTTCAAAAAGCCATACAACTCGATAAAAAAGATATTAAAACGTGTTGCAAATTGGTCGTCTTGCTCCAAGTGGATAACGTTATCCGTTTCTGACAAAAATAAAACATGTTTAATATTTTGCAGCTACCTTTTCTGTTCAAATTCCGGTAAATTATAATTTTTTTCAAAAATGATTTAGCAGATTTTAATACATGCAGTTGTATAAAACTAAATTTTATTTTATATTAAAATACTGCTCCACTTATACATATTGCTGAATAGTTATTTTAACTGTTTTTGTAGAGATGTCTAAAACATTAAATTAATTTTTTGTAGAAAACGGTAGACGATGTCGATTTGGAACAAGAGTACTTTTCTCTAAACAATGTTAATGGTTTTTAATAATAAACTACATATTTGATTTTTTTGAAAAGTCATAAGTAAAAAAGTTATCATTAATTTTACAGTCGATAAAGGCCATATAGCCTATTAGGCTTCATAACTCAATCTTGCTAATTTTGTAGGTATAGTTTGTTGTCAATATCAAGTATATATCAGCTTTAAAAACAATCGTCTGCTTTGATTAAAAAAATTACTATGAACCCTGGTTAACCTCGAATTTTCGAAAAATCGTAGGAACCTGTACTACTATTTTTATGAATAGAATTACCCCGTAAATTTTTATACATCCGAAACACTCTGAAAGTCAATAGTATTTTCAATAAGTGATTTATTTATAATTAATTATTCTACGAGTACTTACCCATTGATAAAACAATTCCTATTAATATCCTATAATGTCTGTCTTGATATTTTATTAATTGAAATAAAAATTGCCGGTAGTCATTTACATTTCGAAAAAAAACAAAATACTGTTAAAATCATCAATCAGTTTCACATTTTTATTAGTATCCAAAGTATGTGCTCTTCCTTATTAATTTTTATATAAACTTTATTAGTAGTAGTAAGTGCACTTCTAGGTAAATAACCTTTTGCAGCTTTGATAATATTGCATTTATTAAGGTAGTTACTTGAAGTTTTGCATGTCTGTCGGACATGGAAAGGTTTTGTAGATACAATGTATTTTATGTTTCTATAAAAAGTAGTTAATTTGTCTTAATTATCTACTTAAATAGCTTTAACTCTTTTTTTGATACCCTTGAGTTCAATTCGTAAGTTCCATTTCTAAGATCGTAAACAAGTGTGTGAACTTATCGAATATTGACTATACCCAAATCTACTTAGCAACAATGTCAGGTATTTTATTTTTACAATGTACCTAATTAAATATTTTGTGTAGTGCCTAATAAACGCCTAAATAAGAAAATAAAAATTTTACAAAAGTATTCCAGAAAACCAGAAATTTGATTTTAACCCATTATATTTTTTTGACATAAAAGAAGAAACATTCTTGTAATCAATACTTTTACTATTTGAAATTTGCCTAGAAAAATCTTTCCTTTAGCCAGAACACCAAAATGTAATTTATAAATAACAAAGACTTACGGTACAATATTACAAACTATCAAATTGTTCCAAATAACATTTTTATGACAAAAATACCTATTAAAAGCGAACAAAGCGAACAATTTTCTTAATAACTTAAAATTTATAAACGACAAAATTTCTAATTTAAATATTTATAAATAATCTATACCTACCTTTGTTACAATATATCAGTATAATGCACCTGTACTGAATGAAATAGTGTGGCCAAATGAAAACGAAACAGAGCCATTTTTAGGAACTGCGTCAAGATTGTAAAAAACGCTCAAACCCGTTGATTTTAGATTAAAGAGAGACATTCTTTGCTGGTATTTTTGACTCCGCCACTTTCTCCCCCATGCAAGGGTAAGCATCACCTCAAAATATTTAAATAGCATTGGGGGTTGAGTAATATTTCTTTTGAAAGCTCTTACAATTCTCTTTAAATTTTATAATTCCGCCCAATACTTTGAAAAAAATTTACAATTTAAAATTTAAATTATGTTTAGTTGCATACTTACTACCTAGTTGATTAAATGTTCAAACTGATGACCGCCCACTTCCATACAAGAATAAAGATTTTGTTAGAAACGTTCGCGCAAATTCCGAAGCATTTCCGGAGTGATTCGACGGGATTCGTCGACGATTCTTTGACGCAAATCTTCCAGCGATGCAGGCTGTGTTTTATAGATTTTACTTTTTAGATATCCCCCACAAAAAGAAATAAAGGGCGAAAAAATCCGGTGATCGTGGAGGCCACTCAATGCTGCCTCTTCTCCCAATCCAATTCCGTAGAAAACGTTGGTCCAAATACTGACGGACAATTATCGCATAATGCGGAAGAGCACCATCCTGTTGAAAAATCAAATGATCTTCATCGTACTCAGGAACATTTTCAATAATATCAGTCAATAATAATATGGTCAATAGCGTCTTCCAGTAATTGCAAATACATTTGGTCATTCAAATTACCAGGTAGAAAAAAAGGACACACCAGCCGGTCACCGAAAATTCCAGCCCATACATTCAATTTTTCCGGTTGCTATGTATACACCTCGTGAAAAACTCTTGGGCCAATAGCGGTAATTGTGACGATTTACCGTCCCGTTCAAGAAAAAACTGCATTAATCACAAAAACAGATGTTAAAAAGGAACTGTGGATCGTTCCCTGATCGCTCACTCATTATTTCGCAAAATTGCAAACGGCGGTCATAATCATCCTCATGAAGTTCCTGAACTAAATGTATTTTGTGTGGATGGAATTTATTTTTCTTCAAAAACACAATTACATACCCTACTAATAATAACCTACCAACGCTTCCAAATAATACTAGAAAATAATTTGGAATCCACTAATTTTACGTTCATTGTATGTGTACAGCATTAATTTCTGTTTTTTACAATTGTGTTTTTTTTTACGAAAGTGATAACAAATCGCCAAAAACCAATGTAACGCAAGAAATACTAAATTTATACCATTGGCGTACTTAACTCGAATGACTGACATTTTTACCGTTACTAATTGTTTGAAGATAAGTTTCAACTTTAAAATCAAAATTCTTAATTAATAAGTATTGGGTGGAATTATAAAATTTAAAGTCTGTTGTAAAGAGAATTATAAGAGCTTTCAAAAGCAATGTTACTCAACCCCCAATGCCATTTAAATATTTTGGGGTGATGCTTACCCTTGCTTGGGGGTGAAAGTGGCGGAGTCAAAAATACCAGCAAAGAATGTCCTCCTTTAATCTAAAATCGACTGGTCTGAGCATTTTTCTACAATCTTGACGCAGTTCCTGAAAATGGCTCTGTTTCGTTTTCATTTGGCCACCCTGTATATAAATTTTAAAAATAAATTAATACAAATATATAAGTTGATACATCAAATTAATAAATAAGCTTTTTTATTAAACTTGCCGTCATTTAACTTTGTAATAATTAAACATTGAAGATCATAAGTGTAAATATCATTTGATTGAAATTGTATACTTATTTTATTTAAACAACATTTTTTTTTTTGAAAATTAAAGAAGTTTTTGTTTTCTAGGAAGAAAAAATTCCAATCCCTTCGCAACAGCTAGTTATGAGACTGTGTTTACCGAGTCTCTGCAGCATCCTGAGCGGTTTTGGTCGAAAGTTGGGCTGATGGTATCTTGGAGTAAACCATGGAAAACAGTTTTGGATAATTCCTGTGAACCGTTTACAAAATGGTATTCATTTTCTATAACTTTCTGCTTTTTGTATTTTTCACTAAATATCATAATAATTATTTATGTATAATGTAGCTCTTGTTTTTCACGAGTGGGAATTTTGTCACATGTCCCATTTAACAGTTTAAACCTCAGTGAAGCCTCCGATCCAAAAATAACCTAAATGGAAGTTGCTCAGTTCATTGGGGGAAAGCGGTTGCTTAAATTTGACCTTAACCGCGTCCTTGAGAATTAATTAAAGGTCAACTTCATAATTTTAAATGGGACCGTCTATTTTTTACTCGAATTCTGATTGGGAATTTGGTGTTTGTGCAAGATTTTCAAATTGTTACTAAACAGTTTGCTGACGGTCATACTACTTAGTATTTTTTAGTAGTATATTTATTTGTCGACAAGCGCATTAATTTCGGTTCTGTGATATTATTTTCTGTACAATTAAGTTAATTTTGGATATATATCCGATATTTCTTCAGAACTTTTGGCGGAATGCTGTGCAAAGTGTCAGTTACATTATTGGTGTTTTATTTTATTATTTCTAGTTAGGTATAGTGAGTCATGTATTAGAAATTGAGAATATGAACAAAATTAAGTAAAAAAACATTGATTAGTATTAAAATCGTAGCTCCGATGGTAATATCGTAAATTGTATTCATTCAATTTTTTCCTATTTATTCAAGAACAGCCATTCTCACAAAAGCAAAAGACTCCTGCTCCAACTACTCACTGATATATTTAAAGTTAACAGATCTCTGTTGCCTGTTAGTTATTTTAAATTTATGTGTAAATTTCAAATTAAACAATCGTTGCAAATAGTCCACAACTACACATGTTTAATAAAAATTGTTTGCGAACTATCAGAAATTTACTGCAGACGAAAAGCCAATCTGTCAGTTGAATTGATGTAGTATATCAATATCGATCAATGACCTATTATATTATTTATTTTTCTCATTATACAGTGAATGAGTGAAATAAGAAGAAACTAGCACATTTTGTATTGTTGCAATACTATTCCGCAAATAAATTATTAAGTCCATATATCTAGTAGAATAAATGGTACAATTTTAAACTAATAAAAATCATAAGAGATAATTTTTTGTCTTTATACATTGAATTTGACTTTATGAACAAATATAATGCACCTCCACATTCCAAAAACACAAACTTATTCGATTCAACAACTTTAGTTATAAAAAATGTAGTAGTTTTTATAGTTTTTTCACTAGCTATAATAATACACAATTCAAAATTCTCCTGAATCATAAACATTCAGATGAAATTAACCGCAGGTCGTAATTATATCTAACTTCTGGAGTTTTATTTGGCCTACGGTTTTTTTGCTTTTGAAGACCTCAACTACTAACATATATTTTTTTTATAATCAGCATATGGTAGTAGAAACATGTTTTCAACATATTTTTTTTGGCGCATACAAATATTTTATGTTTGACATATCTACTTTTTGATTAAGATACACTACTTCTTATATGCAAAGTTGAGCAATATCAGTGCCACCTCATACTTTGTCCATTATTTTTTGACGTAGAAAAAGAAGTGGAAGAATGAAATTTGTAGAAAACTTTCTAGATTTTCTAATACCTAAGGTGCAAAAACAATTGAATACCAGATTGCAGAGATATTGGACTTGATATGACTTTTTTAATATAACACGAAGTACATTTTTACACGTTTGAATAAATAATAAGATATTCAATTATTTCTGGTAACAAAGTATTAAAACCCTTTTTTTATATCACACAGAATAACGGAGAAAATAAGGTCGATACTTATGATGGACCACCTATACAAAAATAACAATTTTTAAAATGCGCGTACTATATTAGTACATGACTTTTATTTACAGCCATAGTATAAGATATTATTCACAGAGACGTACAGTTTGCATGTACTAAACTTTATTTATCAACATACCATGTACCACTGATGTTATGTGTGGGTAATAATATGTATTTGGAATGTGTTTTAAAGAACTAGAGAATTGCTTGTATTTCCGTACTCTGTAAAGTTAAATACAAAATGAAGAATTAATACTTAAAAAAGTAAACAGTTACATGTTCCTTATAAATGTTTTTTTTAATATTGGAACAGTAACTTGAAAGGAAAATATTCAAAGGCCATTTATAACCTTTGATATTTTACTGCACTCGTGTAGTTGGTTGCCTATTCTTTTCCTAAGAGCAGACCAAACTTCTAGCCCTTTGGTTTTTTATTCATTTACTTTACTCCTATAAATCCTAAATCAACAGTCTAAAACGCTAGAGCTCTTATATTTCGCAAACTTACTAACGTTATAAATCAGATTTACTTTATTTTTTCTTTTACAACCAAAAGAACATACCTACCTACCAAACAATATACCCAAAATACATACTGATTATAACAAAATTTCTTCTATTTAGTGACACAAAGTTAAAATTGATTTATTCAGATGACATTACGGCGCCTTCTGGTCATCCATATTTTTGCACATCTTAAAAAGTATTATTCAAATTTCTGGTGTTTATATAATTTTAAATATAACAAATTTACTTCAATATCAATGTAAGCTTACCATTTTTTAAATATTAATTTAAGCAATAGATAAATATTCCCCAACTGGTTGCCACATCATCGATTTAGGCTTTAGATGTTTTGAGATACTTAAATAGCGCTCCTTTATTCAAACAGAACTTTGACATTGAATTTTAAATGCTCTAGTTGATATGTATACGAGCTCTATGTGTTTGATTTTTTATACGGTCGAAATTCTAAGATCTTGTCTCTGTTGAAGTTATTTGAATTGTTATGGATTTCTATGGCTTCGCTATAAGCCTAAACAATAGAAACTGAAAAAAAAATATATATAATTTCAACTGAGATAGGTACGGCTTAGAATTGGAAACAACCAATACCTACGTAAAAAATCAAAGATCGGCAGATCACTGACAAATAATTTTAAACCAAACTTGGAACACCACCAGTCAGGAATTAATTTTCAATTTCAGAGTTTCATTTGAAAAAAAAAACGATATGTCTCTCAAAACGTCAAGAGAAAAAGAAAATAATTTATTTATAAGTTTCGATTTCTTAAATCTAAAATTTATGTTTAGCTAATTACAGTCGTGTCTCACCATCTTTTTCTCGAGAATTACTCCTAATATGGAGAAAATCGACATTTTTACCGAGTTCCCCATGCATTGCCTGCTATGCTAGGAGTCTCGTCTCGTGCTCGCCGGCAAAGAGGCATACGGGTTGTTGGGACGCTTCTATCATCACCCAACCTCGATAGACGCTTGGGGGTGCGTTTGTCGCGCTGGCCGATTCTCCTCCATCGGAGACGAGATCGATTTTTAGAGATGTGGGAAACGATCTAATTTGTTTGGTTGCCTTCTTGCATTCTGGCACTGTTTCCGATACTTTACGCTTTATGAAACACAGTCGAATAAGGTACTCTAGGTCTTTTATCACATTCCTTGTGCTGGGCTAGAACAGTAAAGTTTATGCGAATGTAGCCTCCTTAGAGTGCATGAGTATTTGTTTGGAATCTTTCGAGCTTGAATTGAAATTTGCCCCTTTAGAAGGCTTGTGTATGGCAACTTTAGGAGCTGTGTTTCACTCAGGATCTTCATCGCAGGATGGACAACGCCTGGGTAGTAATGTGATATGAAACAATTGGAGCTTTGATTTCGTAGCAATTTTTTAAGAGAAATTTTAATTTAAATTTGTTCGTTATTAAATTTTATGAAATTTTTATCTTTAGTTAACAATAAATATGAGCATATAATACTTAAGTATATGTAAAGCAAAATAAAAATTTTGGAGCGTACACATGTACTGACCAGGATCCGTCGTTGGTTATTGAACTTGAAGCCATCAGAATTGTCGTTCAATCACCGGGCCTTGATGGGCCCGTAGACGTCATGTAACGAAGTCCGCGTTAACTCTGGGCCATTGGCCTCTCTGGATTTTACCCATTATCGTCATCTGTAATCTAATTCGAAAGCCATAATATTCGGAAAACTTTTCAGTTTCCGAAATTCGAAACTGAGATAACAGTAACAGTTAGATGATGCCCATGGAAGGTAGATTGCGTCAGGTTGGAATTGGGTTTCTACTTTGGCCGAGATCGGCTCTAGGTAGAATGGTTGGAGACAGCTTCGTGGTTCCAATCGGAAGGTTGAGCGAAAATTTGAGATTTTTTTTTTGTCGCGCTATTTAGAAATCCATGATAGCCGTAGATCCTAAAAAATTTTGACCGAAAGATCTAAAAACTAGAATCTTCAAAATGTTTTTTTTTTTAATTCCCGATACGATTAATTTTTTGCATTAGTTTATAATAATTCTTGAAAGAACAAGAAAATTTATTTATTATGCAGGATAACATACAACGACAACAAAATATAAAATTTGGTAAAAATTAGATAAAATTTTTCTGTAAAAACTTCGTTCTTATAGGAACAACAAAGTTTCGAACAAACGTTATTTTCATGATTCCACAAAAATATATTCATTTTCGTTCTAACTTGAAGAACCTTTACTCTGCGCAGGTATGTTGGAGGAGAAATTAATGCATGCTATAACGCAGTGGACCGTCATGTCGAGGCCGGTAAAGGATCAAAGGTTGCTATAATATATGATTCACCGGCAACTGGAGTAGTTAGGAAAATTACTTATTCCGAATTACTGGAAAAGGTAAGTACATAAAGTAGGTTATGTCCCATGTTCACGAACAATATTTGCGAAAAATATAATAACATTTACAAGATGATATAACGAAATTGAGTTTGTTTCACGTCTATACTGACGCAAAATGATTCGCTAACAGTGTTCATCAACAATATTAGTAAAGTTCGCTAACACATGTAGTAAAATTTGTTTCCTAATAACACTGTTTGCTAACAAAATGCATTGTTCCATTGGTAGGCAGTAAATTTCTGTTATTACTTTCTTTATCGCCTTTTTTAACTTTTTTATTTTTGGATATTAAAAACATTAGGTTTATTATTATTCGTGTGGACGCCTTATGTCAACTAACATGTCGAAACGTTGTTCGAGAACAATGTTCCCTAATTTTGATTAATGAGCGTTACTAGTTGAACATAGTTAGCTATTAACGTTAGTATCAGTGTAGACCCTGAGTTAGATAAAGTTTGCTAACCCAGGGTCCACATTAACGCAACCAGTCTTAGCTAATTATAGAGTATTTTCATGACCCAGTGATTAAATTGAAGGTAATTTGTTTGGGAATGGGGTCAGTTTTTAAAGAAAACCAGTTTATTGGTTAGTTGACGTTTCGGCTATATTTAAGCCTTCTTCAGGACAATCCAAAAAAGGTTTTCCGTGTAACAAATAATCTAAATAATGGGGAGTAAAATAGGTAGTATGTTGCTGTATCAAAATAGTATATACATACATGTATATACATAGATATTTTAATCAACATCGAGTAATGTACTATTTTGATACAGCAACATACTACCTATTTTACTCCCCATTATTTAGATTATTTGTTACACGGAAAACCTTTTTTGGATTGTCCTGAAGAAGGCTTAAATATAGCCGAAACGTCGACTAACCAATAAACTGATTTTCTTTAAAAACTGACCCCATTCCCAAACAAATTACCTTCAAGTTAGCTAATTATGTTTGCTACCAATGCTAGCATAAAATTTTTAACAAAACAAAATTTGACAAAAATTAAAATAAATGCTAATGTCAGGGTTACTGCATCCTTTAAACCGTTAATTAAAGCTCGATGTATTTGTCGAATATCTTTTGAAATATTTGTTAGATTAGATTAGATTTTGAGAATAATCTTCAACAGGTAATAATCCTTTGGTATTTAAAATGTTCTTGTGTAACTGTATGTTCCTTTTCTATTCTTTGCTTTTTAACAAAATAGTACTGCTCTATCAGCAAATGAAAAGAAGTCGACATTACACAAAGCATCTTAAACTTTTCAGAATTGCTCAGAGAGAATTAGACTTTTTCAAATGCACACCAGCTTACTTGTGTAAGACTAAATCTAAATGTCATTTCTAGATAACAACTAACAACATTCTTTATTGAATTTTTGAAGTGTAATTTTTTCTTTTACTTATACTTATCTAGCTTTCAGTTTAAAATATATTGCATTATGGTGACAGTTACTGATTGCTCATGCTAAAGTTTAAACTAGAGTAAGTGCTACGTCACGATTGTATATTGTTTAGTTTTCTTATTTCAATAAAATATTGACTAAATGGGATATATTTATAATATTCATTTTACTATGACAGCGTCTTGTTAAATAACAAACTAAAGTCACAGTAGGTACCTATAGATAAATCAGCAGTACTTTTTCGCTAAGTTTTCGTACTTTTCATGTTTACTATTCGTAATATTTACCTCTGTATGTTTAGAAAATTATTAATTAAAGAAAATTTAATTATTTGACTATAAATTTTTAATAAATAGTTTTTTATATATACTTTTTATATATTTTACGAATAACATTTGTAACATATTTGTAATTAACTGCTAATTTATTAATATTTTATTTTTAAATATCGACAGTACAAGGTAATACATAATCAGGGATAAATATGTTTTCATTTACAATTATTATAAGTGAAAAAAAATATTTACCTAATAACTCACTATTTTGCACTGTTGACATTAATTATTAATTTATTGTTTATGCACCATGTAGGTATTCAAGGTTTTTAAATCATTTCGTAACAAAAAACAATATATGTAATACATTATTTATTTATTCCTTAACCTTTATACCTTATAACCTTTTAAATTGTTGCTGATTGAATTCTCGTATTTCTGATGACTTGTAACCAATCTTATACTAATTCAATAGATTATATATTAATTGGTTCAGCTTATAAGATGCAAATATAGAAATGTTCTAACAAAACCCCTCAGGAAATTACTAAGATTTGTGATATCCATATTTGTTTTTCAGGTGTCAAAGTTAGCAGGACTTTTGGCAAGACTGGGAGTTAGCAGAGGAGACCGAGTTTTGATTTATATGCCCCTTATTGCAGAAACTATAATGGCCATGTTAGCTGTTGCTAGACTTGGTGCAGTACATTCTGTTGTTTTTGGAGGTAATGTACAAAATATTATAAATTAACTAGCTACTATATTTTCATTCAAACTTAATATGACGTTATTAAATATTTGTGCAAAATTTATTGGAATTTTAATTATTTGCAAACAAAAATTAAACAAACCAGATGTTATATTCATTGTATAATACTATATTTACAGATTAATTTCATCAATAATTATATTAATTTTCAATTAGCGCGCTGATAGCGAGAAGTCAACGCAATGGGCAAAATCAGATACGAAATTGTTTTTGGAATCCAAATTTCAATAATAGAGAGGAACAATTATTTAAATAATTTCGTAAATTCAGGAAATTTTCAATTTTTGGGTAGTGTCTGTACTTTTTATTTTTAGGCTGTTTCTAGTAAAGTGAAAACATTAGAAAATAAAAATTTTATCTCGTTCACAAAACTATCAAACTCTGGAATGGAGTATTTGTTACAAAACAAACAATTTCCATATACATATACAAGGTATTTCGAAAATAGTTGAGAAAAATGAAGTGTGATTCTTCGGCTCATTTTAAGAAAAAATGTTCTTAATAACATGGATCCGCAAGCGCACCGTTTTCGACATAGGGTGTCAGAAAATTTTTTTTTTTCATTTGTTGGGGATATCTTAGGAAGCGTTTGAGATAAAGAACTTAAATTTTGTATACGTATTATCATTAATATTAGCTTTTGAGCGCTAATTAAATTTTTATTCATATTCTACACAAATAAGGAACTCATCATCATCATCATCATCAAAAGCTCTAACTCGAACCATTTTCAAGATAAATGGCGTTTTACGATGAAAGTGGCAACATAATTAAGCAAACAAACAACAAAAATCACACAGTTATTGAAAAGGGCCTCCTCCTACTAATCCAATCAATAGAGTAAAAAAGCCATATCTTGACAAAACAGCATACCACCGCACCCGTGTCATCACGGGGGTGAAAGACACTCCGTAGATATACTCTAATGTGTTTTCGACTAGCAACTCTCATTAATTAATTTATTATTAACATTTTAGTGCAAAAAAAACGCGTTTTTTTGTTTTTTTTTTTTAGTTTTTTGCTTATAAAACCAATACTTCTAGAGCAATCTCAATTCCGTAAATGGAAAAGTTGTAGGAAATTAAATTTCGAAAAAAATTAGGCGATTCGATCGGTTGATTAGAGCTGGAGAAAATCCGGTAAACCGGAAAATTCGGCATTTTTTCAAAAATTCATAATTTTGTCATTTATGAATATTAAGAGTTGAAATTTGGCACAGAAGTAGATAATTATATCAACTTTAAGTGTGCAAAAGGCAGGCGCTGTCGGACCATTAGTTCTTGCGCAATTACAATTTTAAATTTTTCCGATTTTAATTCTAATACCGGTTTTCAAAAATAGAAGTAAAATACTATATAACGTATTATTTCAAGTTTTCGTTAAAATGCAGCGAAATTGATGAAACATGCACTTGAACATCAGTGTAAACGGCCGGAACATCGGTACAAAAATGAGCTTCGAACAATTTTGTTTTAAACTTGGTAAAACTTTTACTAAAACGTTTCAATTGAAACACCAAGTTTATGGCGATGATGTCTTATCCCATGGCTGAGTTCATGAGTGGTACACGGTTTAAAGGCGGTTTAAAAACATAATTGATGACCAACCTCAGATTCCATCAAAACTGTGCCTGAATTCATCAAAGATCAGCCAAAATCTTCACTGAAATTCACGGAATTGGAGTTGAACATCTCAAAACATCCATTTATCGCATTTTGGCCGAACATGTGGGCTACTGAAAAATGTGTGCACGGCTTGTTCCGCACAAGTTCACTGACTACTACAAATGGCTCAAAATTCAACATTAGAAGGACATCATCAAGGAGGCCAAAAGGCACAAAAATTTCTTTTACAACATTGTAACTGGTGAAAACGTGGTGGAAGGCGTCAGATGAAACAAAATCCAAAAAAATCTCGTTTGGAAAAGTCAAAAGTGAAGACAATGTTAATTTGCTTTTACGATTCCAAGGGCATTGTCCACAAAGAGTTCGTTCCACTGGTTCAAACCGTTAAAGTACAATTCTGTCTTAACGTTTTGAAGCGTTTAGTGCATCGTATTCGACGTTTTCAGCCAGAATATCGCATAGAAGTAAATTGACGTTTGTTGCACGATAATGCGCCATTTCATCGATCGACACTTGTGACTAATTTTTTGACTAAAAATTGCATTTTAACTTTCAACTACTCCCCGTATTCGCAAGATTTGGCACGGTGCGACATTTACCTGTTCGTAAACATGCATTTGCCTATGAAAGGAAAGTGTTTTGTGGACTTAGAAGCCATTCTACGGCTTGTACCCTCATTCTCAAGGACATCCCGCCTGACGATCTAAAGCACTCATTGGATATGCTTTTAGACCATGCAACTCGCCGTAGTTTAGTCGGAAGGAACATATTTTGAATAAGATAAATCGGATTTGCCAATAAAACTTTTTGTTGTTCTTATTTTTAAAAAGTCCATTTTACTTTGGAACACACCTTATATATATATTGAGATGAAACCAGATTAACGGGAGAAAAGTAAAATTTAAATTAAATCGTTATGTAAAAGACAAAGTGGCAAAGTCAATGGTTGGAATGATTATTATAAAATTTATGATTGAGTTGATTATCATGTTAGTAAATAGTTAAAAAATAAGTTAGAATAAGAGGTAATAAATGATATTAAAATTGAAAGACAATTTGTAGATTAATTAAAAATATATGTCAGAAAAATGTCAAATTTAAAGTAGGATACACAAGGATTCTGTAGTCATTAGAAAGGTCAAATAATATGAGAAAATAAAAAATATTTTGAAGTATAAGGCAAAATTGAATGTAAAGAAAGTAGAATAGGGTGTATAAGTGAAAAAGAGAAAGTGAAGTGAAGTGAATTATAAGAGGAAAAGGGCACGTTCAAAGATATGTGGAAAGGCCTTTAAAAAAAAAGAAAAATCAAGATAGTAAGAAAAGAAAAGGATTTATTGATTAGTTACAGAAAGAATTTTGAAAACGACAGTTATTAAAAGTAAGAAAAGAAAACCTAGAGAAATATAAGCAGTTAAGAAGCGAGAAAAGGGAAAAAGACTCAAATAGGAGAAAGCAAGAATTTAAAAATACCAGTTGGAAAAATAAGGTATCTAAGAAATTCGAGACAAGCGGATCATCCACAAACAAGGTCCAGGAAGACATAAAGAACGCTGAACAACAGTAGCAGGTTCCAGAGGCCAGTAGGAAAATCAGGAAAACGGAAGATCAGTAGCAGGATCCAGGAGAGCAGTAAGGAAACCGCATATCAGTGGCAGAGGAAAGAATCAATAAAACAAAGTAAAGGAGAGAAATCAGTCGACACATCTTTATCGATTATACGTATAAAAAGGTACCTTTTATAATAAAAACAAAAGTCGTATACGAAATATAATACAGAATTGCAAAAGTAAAAAAAAAAATTAATATAAAAACGTTTAGTAAATCACTAATTCAATATTAAGCAAAGTTATTTAATCATTTCATAAATATACTTAAAATTGGCCAATCTTTGTAGAATTAAATATTAATACTAGAGAAAATTAATAAGTGTTAAATAAGAAGTTATAAGATAAAGCGTCAGTGTCTTAAGGTATGCAACCAGTATTACATGAAATTTAATTTAACGATATTATCAATATAACCTCTTGTATAAGGCTTTATAAACATTGTGAAATACTTCAAAATATTGACTAGTGTAATTAAGAGTGTAGAGTGACAAAATTTGGCATATATAGAACAAAAAAATAATAAATTCATTTATTACTAAACCTTTTGTTTTTATAGCTGTGATTGGTGTGGTTTCTTGCTAAAGCATAGAACCGACTACGGAGATAGAGTCTAGAGCTAGGTAGGGCGAAGATATACAATACACAATACACCAATCCAACCAAATTAATATCACAACAATCAAATTTTATTTTGGCGCTAACATATACTATCGTACACACATATAATCATAACAATATATATATAAATTCCTAAATTCGTACATTTCTACAATTAGGTAACTTTTAGAATGGAAGAGAATATAATTTATTAGAATCAGTCGAATGCACATATTTGCCGCAATTACAAAATTTTATCTTAAAAATTTGAATAAACATTTGAAAGTATTATTTAAATATTAAAATTACATCAAAGTAAAGACAAATAAAATAATATTAATTAATATCAATTAATGATATTGGATAATATATAATAGCACATGCTCCAATAAGGAATTTATTAGAATATGTCAATCAGTATCTACAATAGACAATCACCTAAAAATGTGCCTATTTGTTAAATCATTAAAAAGATAACTAGTTTTCTTTTAAACTCATTTAAAGAAACACATTTTTTTATATTTACTAGTAGTTTGTAATTTTTACAATACTTCTTTACAATTATTATAAATTGGATATAAGTACTGTAGATGGTTGTATTGATGATAAGTAATAGGTAAATTTACAGATATTCTTGTCTAAAATCGAAAAGGGCAGTTCAAAAATGATATAATAAAAAATAAACGGATAAAAAAATTGAAAGAATTTCTTTCCCAATGAAAGAAATAAATAAAATTTTAATATCAGCAGATTCAACTGAATTGCCGCTATTGTTATTATTAATTAATAAAATTAATTTGTGACTTGAATTAATAAAATAATTTGATATACCTGATGTTACAACAACAGTTCAAAATTTTGTCCACAGACGTGTAAACGCATTTGGGCCCGGCGTACCCAGTTTCTACGAACTAACACAAATGTTGTCTTGCTTCACCATAACACAAATATTGTATTGCTTCACCATAAGTAAGGGTTTTAAATACTACAACTTCAACAATTTTTTTCTCGGAAACTAAGGATTTTACAAAAATTTTGTTTACGATAATGACCCCATTTTTCATGCTCATCTATTCTCAAACTTTTTCGGATAAGTTGTGAATACCTAAATATTGCATTAACAATTTCTATTTTAAATTTTGGAACTGAAAATTTATATTATTCTAATTTGTATTACATTTTTATATTATAATTTTATTTACTTGTAAAATCATAGCTTTAGTTTTGTCTATTTTATTTTAATGTTATGTTCATATTACATCTCACATGTACATTTTTGAACATTTAAATACCAATTTATTCTAATATTTTTATATAGGATTTGCTGCTTGTGAACTATGTACCAGAATTCAACATGCTGAACCAAAAGTCATAATAGCTGCTAGCTGTGGAATTGAACCATCCAGAATTGTCGAGTAAGCATGGCATACCTTATTAAAACCGAAATTCACATTAAAAATATTTTAAACATTTTAAGTGATAGAAAGCAGCTTAAAAAAACTGATTAAAAATCATATCTTCATTGAGAAAATCTATTTTTTTCTTAAAATAATATAATATAAATCCAAAAGTTTCATTATAACACAATTAACGGTTTTCAGCTATGCCAGTGAATTGAATGAGGCTATTGCACTATCTTCACATAAACCATCGAAATGCATAATTTATCAAAGAAAAGGGATAGCAATAGCTGAACTCGATCCGGAGAGAGATATGGATTGGGAGGAGGGTATAAAAAATTCTGAAAGTGCACCATGTATTCCTGTGGATGCAAATGATCCTTTGTACATTATCTATACTTCTGGAACTACTGGTAAATATTTCAGTCTTTTGATAATTTGTTTATTTGTAACTTATTTCTTTATTCAAATCATTTTTGTTAATATAATAATCGATAAAAAAAATAAATACACAGTGTGTCACAAAGTAGTGGGTGAAGCCGTTAACCACAGGTTACTTGAACCATACCATCATACTTTTGATTTAGGACTTGATTATTATAACTCTCTTTTGTACAGGGTTATTTACGTAACATTCTACACACCTTATCTTTTTTACTTTCTGTTTAAAATATAGTAATATGGTACACAAAACTTAGAAAAGCAAATGAATTTTGCATCTTGAAGATACAAGCCAAACTCATATATCTGTCAGTTGTCTTTCATTATTTCATAATGATTCAAATGTTTAGATGGTTTATGAAACTATCAAAGCCAAAATGCTAAATAGCGAACGTATCGTCCACATATCAGTACCAATGTAATGGCTTGAGTTCAACTGTTTCCAATACTTTTAAAGGTATTCATTAAAAAGGTTTGTCATTATCGAAATCACGGACTCCCCATGACAACACACCATCGGTTTGTTCATAATAATCTCGTGTTCATAAGTAGTAACAGAACGTTAGACAAAGCTCAAATAGATAGTAAGATCCTAATAGCTCCAATACGTCTTTTATTTGCACTCTGGTGAACAAATACTCCACATCATAACTGATCAAGATGTCAGAGTCACTTATGGTGAAGTCTGTAGAATATCCAACGAAATATATTTAACACTTTATAGTAATGTCTTGAATAGATCTCAGCTCCTAGATAACCCTTCGATGTTTCCTTGAGATATCAGGTTTTAGTGGTTTCACCTTCTTTAAAATTCTACAAATTTCTTATCGGGTTTCTTCTGCTTCAACCTCAATCAGAGACCACAGTGATCTCTCAACCTCAGCAATAATTTCTTCATTAGCAATTGTTTATGGTGCTTTGGTGAAAACAGAACTATCTGCATCCGATACAGTGATATTACTGTAATTGGATTACAGATGTAACTCGCTTAAGTAGTTAATTAAAATTATTTTAGGTGATCCCAAAGGTATTTTACGCCCGATAGGCGGTCACATGGCTATGTTAGTTTACACGATAAAAACATTATATGGCCTAAGTCAGGACGATGTCTGGTGGGCAACGAGTGACTTTGGCTGGGTTGTTGGGCATTCTTACATGTGTTATGGTCCCCTTGCTTATGGTATGACCAGCGTTGTATATGAAGGGAAACCTACGACTACACCGGATCCAAGTTCCTACTACAGGTAGGTGAAAATGGTTGAAAAATAGACTATCGTGGTAGTTATAAAGTTGAATTACTTCCTCCAGATACCACGACTTTGCTAATTTTCTTTAACGTTTCGCATCTGATCAACTTTGTCAGCTGATTCAGTAATATTAGCAGACTACGACGACAACCTGTATGACACGACTCAAAAAGTGATTTAAATTTTGAATGTAAAATTGATCTTAAGTGTTTATGAATGGAAAATAGAATCTGTTCTATTTTTATCCAATAATCCTATTTGCAAACACGTGCATGACTAATTATATGTTAACGTTGAATATAACAAAGAAGTCAGATAATTATTATCAAATGGTCTGCTTTCTACAAAATGTTTCCCGATAAAATGCGTTTTATGTTGCTATTATTATTTCTTTAATAATAAAAAAGTGAACAAAAACTAAACTCGTCTGTTATTTGATTTGAACATTGAACACTTCACTTTTCAAAGCTTTCATTCTATAAAATTTTATTTTATAAATATAAATTTCAAAATGATATATATTAGATATTTATATGCTCTGTATTATCATACAGATTTAAGAAGTAAGTTTATCAAACTGGCTGCAACTTCGAAAGAGAAAATAATATAGCATAAAACATGATTAAATTACAATTATTAAATGTCTTGAATGAACTCATTAAGATACGTATGATGCAAATATGAATACGAAGCATTGTTATTAAAAAATTAATAAACCTTCAACGTTTACTTCATATATATTGCATAAAAAGGAATAATACTAACATGTAAGTACATGTTTTGGAACACGTGTATAATATATACGTATATTTAGAATTCTAATACTTCATTTTCAATGTTAGTTTTAAATTAATTATTACTATTTATTTTGTTTTAATGTAGAAAAATTATTAAAATTACACATGCGTGTCATATGGTTGCCTTGAAAGCGATGGAAATTTTAATTCTTTCTCTAACTTTTATATTTGTAATGCAAATTTCTCGGTATTATCCCGAAAATTAGATTCAGCTTAATGATCTTACGTTTTCGTTTGTATGGGCCTTACTCCTGAAGACAATACTTAAATAAAAAAACAGTGCTCTGAAAACGCGCTATAAACAAAAACATTTATTTTACATATTAAAATTGTTACTACCCTTACAGATTTAGTTAGATAGAACGTTAACATGAAAATTTTTGTTAAGTTGGCGATATTAATTATAGTAAAATTAATAATTCACACAACCATTAACTCTAGCAACAAAAACCCTGTTTTTAATTATTTTTTTCACTCGTCATAGAATATAAAGGGTGTCCCAAAACGCAGTATTTGAATTGAGGGCCATTTTCATTCCGAAGAATTGACAGCATTGTACAGGGTCACATGTTGTAATAAACACGTTGCAGTTAGACAAAATAGAGAGCTATTCGACAGATCAGTGAATGAATATTGTGAAAATTCATTATAAGTATGGAGAGTGTGTAGTTGAGACTGTGCGCAAATTACGTGCAATTTTCGGTAGATGGAACGCCCCGAATGAAACAACTGTGAAAAGATTACCTGCAATATAGCAGGTCACTTCCTACTGTAGCCATTTGAATGGCACAGTGGGAGTCAGCATGACAGATGGAGCCATTGCGCTCCGCGTACAATGTGAAAAGATTAGTTGCCAAATTTGAACAAACGGATTCGATTGCAGACAATAAAAATCGTAATGGCCGTTCAGTCGAGAATATTTCTACGGTGAGCGATAGCGTGGAGGACATTCTCGTAACCCCAGTACCTACGCCGCCGGTCACTGCAATTAAACATTTGAAAAAGCACAACGCAGCGGATTTTGAGAAAAGATCTGCACCCATCCAAGATTTAACTGACCCAAGAATTGAAACCAGACGACCGTTTAACGCGCCGGACATTCGTTAATTGGTTGTTAGAGAATTAACAAGTGATTTTATTAGGAAAATCATCTTTAGCGACGAGGCGCATTTCCAATTTGGGGAAAAGATAATCCTCGGGTCAATCAAGAACGACCACTGTATACCCAAAAAGTGACAGTGTGGTGTTGATTTTACGCCGGTGCACAATAGTCGGAATTCCGAAAAAGCTGGACAAAAGTCGAAATTTCAAAGTCGTTGATTTGCGCTAATACTTCAGAATATTCTAGAGAAGGAGTCACTGCGTAGTTCTTTAAAGTGACACAGCGTGAGAGCTGGCCCATGTGTATAGACCACAGCAACTATCGGAAGTAGTGACACATTAGCATATTTTACTTGTCACTGACCCCTCGAATAGCGATGAATTGAAAATACGTGCAAATTTTTACTTGAGTACGAATCGGTGTGTGCAATAGATAGGATGTTCCTGGAGTTAAGTAGAATACATTTACTCATTTAGAACCTCATTTTTCGAAAGTTGCATGTTTTTATCGTTTTAACAAAAACGTCTTGCAATTTCCATCGATTTCAAATCACATCAATCGTAAATTATCGAAATAGTTGTGATCCCAAGAGATCCTGCACTATTAAAAGTTGGAAAATGCGGACAGGAGTGTCAATTTCATATATCAACAGGAAAAAACACCGGATTTTTCCGGATTCGGGTTCTGAGTCATTTTTGTACCTCTGTGTACGGCCGATTTACTATTGTAAGAGGCCTTAGTTATACAATAGCTAGGGTTGTAGTGTCTCTTCGCGTTCCAAACGAACGTTTCTAATTCAAATTGTTTTTCTTACGAACATGCACCTTTTTCGAGTGCCATTTATCATATTTTTACAAGCTTTTATTTAACTTGCGTTGTTAGTATGGGTTAAATTTTGCAACTGAATTTTAAAACAGTTTCCCCAACCGATTGAGCTGAAATTTTGCATACACGTTTAGTTTGGATGACAATGCATGGTTAGCTAAGTGACGTCATTCTAAATCCAATGTGGCGGACTCCCAAAGATGGCGGACCAGTTATTTTTTATGCACCCCCATGATATGGGTATCAAATGAAAGGGTTAGCTGAGAAGAATACCAAAACAAATGTTAAAGTTACTTAAAGCTTGCCTTTAAAAAAAAATTATAGATGAACTTATTATATATGATCTTTCAATTCATAATTTATCATCATCAGGATCAGGCACCAGTAAAATTACGTTAATTAACAAAAAAATAAATTTTTCGATTTTTGAAAGGAAAATTCCAAGAGAATTTAGAAACGCAAATCATCATTTTAGACCAACCCTTTTTAAAAAGGTGCAAGATAGATGAAAATGAGAAAAGCTTTTCAACCGAAGCTATGGTGATAATATTTTCATGCTCTGACGGTTATGTGACAGGTGATGACGATGCGTATGACTCATGTGTATTAGAATATGTTAAATAATGAGAATAAGCTTTATAACAAGAATAAGCTTCAACAGTATTTAGAAATTATTTCATTCGAAATGACGAATTCATTCCAAATACATGTGTTACCTTTCGTACTTTATTAATAATAATTAATTACCTCAAAAACCTCAAACTCCGACCTTACATATCTTTTACGCGACCTCAATACCAGAGGCACTAGAAATTTCAATTATATTCAATAAATTAACGTGATATATCGGCCATTTTGTATCAGCTATCTTGAATTTGAGATTTTTGACTGCAAATTCGGCTTTAGCGACCTGAAAAACATAAAGTTCCCACTTTTGGTGATGATGCAAGCCTTTTTGGACTTTTGTCCAGCTTTTTCGGATTTCCGACCACTGTGCGGTGGAGCGATTGGTTTATTCTTTTTTGACAATGATGCTTGAAACGCAGTGACTGTCCATGAAGAACGATATCGAGTTGCTATTGAACTTTTTGTGACATCATTTCGATGGCGTAGATTTGGATGACATGCGGTTCCAGCAGGATGGTGCCACATGCCATACGGCACGTGAAACTATCCACTTAATGGACGACTCATCTCATGTAGCAGTGAAGAGACTTGGCCACCAAAATCATTTTTACGTCATTCTTGCTGTGGGGATTAGTAAAGTCCAAAGTTTGTTCTGCTCAAATGAATACCATTCCTGAATTATAAGCAGAAATTCGGAGAGTTATCAACAAAATTCAGCCGCAGGTATGCGAAAGAGTGATACAGAATTTTCTTAAAAGAAATCGAGTATGCCGAATAAGTCACAGAGGGTATCAGCTCTCCTATATCCTCTTTCATATTTAATAGCAATGTCTTCCCATGTAAAAGCTTTGCCAACTTTAAAATAATAACATATTTTTTCCTTATATGAAATCCTGCGTTTGTTTTGGGACACCCCTTAAATATTAATTTTTCTAGGCCTGGAACTAGAAGCCACAAACTGACTCTTATTTCATGACCCCACTCTACCAGATTTTCGAAATCGCGTAAAGAAAACTTTCAAGTGCGCATTTTGAACAAATCATGATATAAATTAAAAAACACACTAGTAAATCTCAATCAAAAATAGAACATTTTTAGAAAAAATTGTTATACTGGTATTAGACAGTTAAAAAATTTGTTTACTCTATTGACTTTATATTTTAATAATACAAGCTTTTTCTGCGTGAATAATGTTTCCAGTATTGTTCTATTTTAATAATTGCGAGACCTATGTTTCATGTTTGTTTATCGAAAACGCGTCACCACTGAGTTTATAAACTAACTAACGCGTCACTAAGGAACGGTCACTACTATTATTAACACTAATATTGTTAACAGCAAATTATGAAATTATAGAAAAGCGTTAAACATCGAGAAATCATAGAGAGAATAATTTAAATGTTTAGTCTTCTTTTTAATTGCAGGTGTGACACGAATATTACGACAAACTTCTAGTACTACTCAAGAACCAATGTAGACTTTAAATTTGCTTACATATTTGCCTAAATGCTATTTAATTTTCATTGAAATAAATGTGAACAAATTTCAAAGTTAATCTGATTTTTACCAACTTTCTTAATCTCCTACCTACCTAAACAAGTATACTTTGTAATGGTGTCTGTACTTTTAACTGTGAATGGTGCATT